TCCTATTTTGACTGGACTATAAAGGGTAAGTGTTACCGAGTTTTAATTTGGTGGGCTTACTTTTCTGGGGGTATTCTATACCCCCAAAAACCCCCAGTAACATTTTCTTCCACAAACCGTTTAGCTTTAGAGCCTCACGATGTTTTGTTGGGAAAAATGACCACATCCTCCTCTCCTTATAAGTAAAGCGGATAATGTAACACCGGGGGATTTTAATACCCCCCAGCCCAGCGCACGTTAGTTATACTACCATTTCCAGTAAAGCCCCAAGAGAGTACTGATGGTGCTATAGGGTAAATGTTTTCGAATTTTAATTTGCCGGGCCTTATCGAATTATACTTTGCTGGAGGGTATTCTATACCCCCAGATTCACCGATAACATTTTCTTCCATAAAACATTTAGTTGTATACCCTCATGATGTTTTTCTTGGCTATAAATGACCCTTCTCCTAATAAGTACTGCAGAGAATGTAGCACCGGGGGGCCTGAGGGTATGGGGGGTGTACACGTTAGTTTCACTCCAATTTCCTGTGAAGCACCACCAGGGCCGTAGAGAGAAGCTTGGGACCCGGGGAGTTGTTAAGCACGGGCCCCTTTTTTGTGCTTAAACTTACCTATTCCACATTACTTTATTCTACTAATCACGGACTCATAATATGAAATATTTTATTTTAGTGAAATTGGTACGCTTTATGGATGTAAAAATTTTATTCCCAAAAAACCATGCAATGGGCCCCTTTTCAAAATCCGGGCCCAGGGGGAATCCCCCGCGTTACCCCCCCCTTCTCGCTCAGCCTGAAGCACCACTGATGGGTACATAGAGTAAGTGTTACTCATTTTATATTTGCTGGTGCGTCATCGAATTTTACTTTCTATGTTAGTGTATGTAAATGAAAGTTACCGGTAATCGCGATGTCCTAATCAATTATAAAATACTTAAAAAGAAGTATTGCCGAATAATCGATAAAGCCAAACGCGAGTGTAACGACTACTACCTATATTACAAATTCGAACAATCCGAACAAGGCCGTGTGGCATCTAATAAACGAAAGTATCATGTCCACGCGCAAAAAAGCACCGAATGAACTCTCGATAGTGCATAACAACAGCAATGTTAAAGACCCCGCCCAAATAGCGGAAATCTTCAACAAACATTTCATAGATAGCGCAACTGCAATTGCCAACTCATTTTCTACTGTGGCTAACAATGAATCCATACCACGACGCACTTCCTGTTCCTTCTTCCTTCGACCGGTCTCGGAATCCGAATTTCTCCATCTCATTAATAAAGTATCAAAAAGGAAGTCTTCTGGCGCAGAAAGAATCCCTGGTCAAATATTAAAATGTATAGCAATGACTATTGTCAAACCATTAATCCATATTACAAACGACGTGTTTACCAGTGGGGTTTTCCCTCATTCCCTAAAAACTACAAGAGTAATTCCTGTATATAAGAAGGGCGATCGGCAGCAGGTAGGGAATTATCGACCCATATCAATCGCTTCAGTATTCTCAGGGATCATAGAAACCTGCATAGCGACACGAATATCTGATTACCTTGACAAGCTCAACTTATTCTCGAAAACACAACATATGGATTTATTAAGGGGAAATCGACTGTTTCGGGCCTTTTTAAATCTATCAATGATATTTCCGAATCCCTGGACAAGAAATTATATACAATGGGCATCTACTTCGATATATCGAAGGCCTTCGATAATTAATCGCGAACTCCTGCTGGAGAAGCTAGAAATCTATGGAATTACGTTGGAATTGGCCGGCAACTGATACAATCGTTCAGCGTTCTTATCGAGAAGATCGCAATTTGTTGAAGTTACGGAAAGAAATGGCAACATAGTTATTGCTAAATTCAACTCCTCTACTTTGAAACCCACTGTCGGCACTCCTCAGGGCTCAACTCTGGCGCCGCTCCTTTTTGTCATTTATGTAAATGATATGGATACTCTGCCTTCGAATATACCACCGCCACCCTATGCAAATACGCAGACGATACATCGGTAATTATCTCGGGTTCTGGTATGGACACGGTAGTAGATTCTGCAAATAATGCAATTCGCGCTATGTCCGATTGGTGTGCCACTAATCGGTTGAAGTTGAACGAAGAAAAAACGGGGCGGTAGTCATATATCGAAATGTCCATCTTCATACTACTGGCACTCACGCCAAAATTAAGTCCAACGGTAAAGACATAACCGTAAACACCAACCAAAAATTTCTAGGTGTAACCTTAAACGAGAACCTCAATTGGACAGTTCAGACAAGCGAACTATGCGGCAAACTACGCAGAGCCAGTTATGCGGTGCTTTGTCTGAGACACAAAGTGCAACAAACAACACTTCTTACATATTATTATGCACATATACAGAGTCATCTATCATACGCCATCACCATCTGGGGAAATTCTCCCGCTAGCAGCAGAATTCTTAAAATCCAAAAATGCATCATTCGCCGTATTTGCTATAGTGAGCCTCGGGAGCACTGTAGACCGTTGTTCAAACGACTCAAGATAATGACTATTCACGCATTATATATTTATAAATGTGTGCTATACGTCTCTCTAAACCGCCACGAATTTGTAACCAACAAGGAGGTCAACAGTGGCATGCAGACACGATATGCGGACCATCTTTCTGTACCCCATCACGCTACAACTCTGTACGCCAAATCTCCAAAATACATGTGCATCAAGCTGTACAACCATCTGCCTCGCGATATTCGAAAGCATAGCACGCATGTTCACTTCAAAACAGCTTCTCGGGATTTTTTTCTCAACCACCCATACTACTCGGTGGACGAGTATTTAAAAGCTTGATTGTGTTATTGTTTGTCTGTGTTACTGCGTATACTGTCCATATACATTAACTGTTTTATATGTTTTGACGCGCCAATGTTACATTTTGTAATTTAACGGCATTAAAAAGTTTATTATTTATTATTATTATTAATATATTATTATAATTATACCATGGGTCGAAGAATTTTGATAAGCAAAGAAATGCAGGAGGGGCATATGAGAAAGTCATCGGATATTTCAGTAAAGTCTTCTCTAAACGGGAACGTAATTACTGTGTCAATTAATTGTTAAATAATTGTAAATAAATAGACGACGTAATTAAATTTACAATAAAATAGTAAACGATTCGAAACCAAAAAATATCAAATTAAAGCTTTTTTAACTTTCCTCTCGAGTGGGACCGCAGGGTCCTAAGAAAGAGGCTCATAAGACGTATTCGCCTCTATTGCTTTGATGTCTAAAGGTTACTTCCGTCTACAATTCAGTTCAGGGCACCTGTTTCACATAAGGGTAATGGTGGTCCAGTGTTTCGTTTTTTTTTAATGTTTTTCTGACAGCTAGCCGCACTCTAATAGTTAATAAGTGCACAAAACACTGTATGAGAAGAAGCAGAAACTAATATATTTATCCTATAACCAAGTAACAACTATTACAGTACTATTACCTGTCATAAAAAACAATAGGTATTTACGTCAAAGTTGGGGGTGAAAACTACTGACGAGGAAATCTTATAGTACGAGGCTCCATGGGGCCGAGTATTATAATGTCCGAGTCCAGTAATGTAGTTTTACTGACGCGTTTTGTATTAAACTTTATTCGATACCGTATTTTAAAATAAAATTTCAGTTTTCGGATTAATGTCAATCTGTCACTTGTGACAGGTGTCATTACAGACATTTAGCAGCGGTTAGTAAAGTGACAAGGTGCGGCCGGTAAAGTGACATGCAGCAGGAAAAGTAGTGTGGTCTGCCTCTCTCATGAAAACTAAAATTTGCTGGCATAAAGTAGGCATGAACATGACCGTTGAATGACGATTTTGGGTAAAAGTAAATATTGGGACGTACGAGGGTGGTAAACGTGTAAATCATAGAAAAAAATCATGAATCGTGGGTATCTTTTCGTCAATTGACCCGGGTCGATAGTTATTTATATAAAAGTCAAGAAAATGACACATTACTGGTGAGGGAATATTGAAGTGCGAGGCCCCAGCCGAGTACTTTAATATCCGAGTCAAGTAACGTCATTTTACTGACGAGTTTTGTATTAAATTTCAATTCAATTTTCATATAGAACTTTTGATTAATGCCAATCTATCAATGATGACAGGAGTCATTATAGACATTTAGCAATGTGACAGGTGCGGCAGGAAAAGTGACAAGTGCGACCGGTAAAGTGACAGGTGGCAGGAAAAGTAGACTGGTCAGCCTCCGTCATAAAACGTCATACGTAGGCATGAAAATGAAGGTTTCATGACCATTTTGGGTAAAATTAGGTATTTGGTACTGTTTTATCGAATCTTCGATATATGCCAATTTCCAACCTGTTTAAACCAAATTAAACCTCAAATATTTTCGACTTTCACCCTGTCAATTGCCAAAAAAGTGTCTAGAGAGGAGTTTCGACCTACCCAATCAGGTGACAAAATGCAGATATTGGCTTCTAAAAAACTATTTACTCGTTTTTATATAGAGATCAGTAGCGCAGAAAGAACTGTTAATTTAGTTATGATTTTGGTATCTTATGGAAAATACAATCTTAATTTAGAACTGGTAGGAAGCGATTGGTGAAGATTTGACATCGCTGTCACTTTTCGTACTTGAGGAACATACGGACGGGCAGAAAAAAACCATCACATATAAGGGTAGTTTTTTGTTTTCGAAAAAATTCTCCTAAATATAGGGTTTATATTTTCAAACAGGGCGAAAAAACTGAATAGCCCCTTTCCTCTTTAAAATTTGCAAATTTGTGTCATATTAACTTCAGAACTGTAGAAAATTTCATGCGTTATAGATTTCCACGGTACTACAGACCCCCGATCGCAACAGTTTTCTTTTCAAGTTTTATTCACAATAGCTTTAAATACGTTCTAGTTGAGAGGGTTTTCACAAGAACCGACTCTAGATTCCAAGGGGAAGGTGGTAAACACTGTGAAGCTTTTAGCGTTTGTCGGAAATAAAAGGATTACTCAGAAAGAAGGATATTCGTCTAACAACCAACATAAGCTTAAAATGCGTAAATCAACTTACCAGTTAGGTCCGGGAGTCTTTGATAAAACATCCCCGTCCGCGCGAGCCACTCCAACTGCATTTGCTGCAATTGACTGGGACTATGGTGATTGATGGGAATTTGAAGCTTTTGAACCATCGAACCGTCCAAAGTGTGAAAGGCTGAACTTTGCACATGATGCTGACTTTGGTAACCGTACAGTCCACCATTTGGATAAATGTGATTTAAAAGTCCCGGCCTTGGTACAAACGAGGTGGGGGGAATTTCTTCGCTTCCCGGCGAAATTGGTGGACTTCTACTTCTTGTGGATGATGGTGATATACTTCGAGATGTATCGGGGGTATTCGGACGATCATCATTACGCGATAATAGAGCGTCTATGCAAAAAGATCCCTTACTTTCTTGTAATTTCGTATCCATATTTAAGGGTTTCGATTGATGATAGGAACTATCGGGGTGCGCGTGCAGTATGTGAGCCGCTTCATTTATGTAGTGCGACATTTTCTCCTTACTTCAAATGATTGCTGACAAAATCTACACCTTCACAAATAAAGCGAGTTCTGGTAAAAGCTTATTCGAAAAGTTCAATGAAAAAATTTTAATTGAATGTAAACAAATTGACAGGTATGTAAACATAGCGCAACTTAAAACCACTTTATTTGATACCTGTCATTCGGAACTAACCGGTAACAAAGCTGTTGATAGACTAAACGATTTGAAATGTATTATCCTCATAATATCAAGCATTACAGGAACATTAGACGTATACATTACACATACACCAGATCTGCGCGTAAATTCAAGTCTTTCATTGGATTGAAACTTATAAACCACGCCTTCTACCCTGAAATTAAAAGGGGTTGCCATGCAACCAGGAAATTCCCTTTCAGGCTACTTTAATCCTAAAGGCTAACATTTATTTGTTCTGTTTTTCCTTCAAATTAAGGTGGTAGAATACTTCTCCTTTATGTAGTTATAAAATGAATTAAGTGTGATTTATACTTGAGAATTAATTAATTTTCGTTACATAAGAATTAGGTAATTTGTTATTTAAATTATCACAATCGTCTACATTTCCATTACGAATTTTGCCACTTTGATATTTTGCATTCCTGATGGAATTAAAGCTCACTAAAGACGAGTTTCGCTACATGTACTCTGCACGATGTCATTTATTTCTAATTAATTTTTTTTCTTAGAAATCGCTTCTTTTTTGTTCCCAATTTTTTTTGCTAATTAGTCCCGCCTCTTCATTTCCCAAATCCTTTACGTTTTCCGTTTGCAACTCATTCACATTTCCTTCCAGTGTGCTGCTTATTTCCGGAGCTTTGAAACGAAAGGAACGTAGATTTGCAAAATAATGTGAAAGTACCTACAACTAGCAGCAATAGGGGGTTATAGATGTATGTATTTGAAACTTTGAACCAGCAAAATTGTCACCATCGGCGAACAACTACCTACTTGCTCTAGAAAAGGCTTACATCTTTTTATTGTGGTTTCTGGGTGTTTTTGTTTCAGTTTTTTAGCGCATTTTTGAAAGTTTTTTATTTCAGATTCCATGATAAAGGAAATATTCGGGTGGATATTATTGAGCCCCTGTAAAAAGATATTGACAAGTTCTTGGTTAGCTGCCTGGAAGCAAAGGATGTCATCCGCATAACGATCCCAGAATAAAATGTGGTTTAAAAAAAAGTAGATTTGCTGATAACTTCATTTTCTACGTTATTCATAAACATTTTGGCGGGGAAAGGAGAAAAATTGGAAACCCATAGCCAAACCATCTGTTTGGGAATAGAAGAGGTTATTGAATTTTAAAAATTTTTGTTGGACGGACTTTATACAAACCACCTGGTCGTCAGTTAAATGTGACACGGTTAAGCAAATTGGAGCCAAGATTGACACTCTCAGTGGTAGGGACGCTGGGAAATAAATTTTTAACATCGAAGGAAACCATGGAAAATGGGGTTGGGAGGTTTTTCAGTTTTTCATTTGTAGATGTATAAAGAAGGTAGGGAGTGTTAAAAGTTTCATTTCTGTAAAGTGACCTTTTAAATCATCAATATGATCAATAAATCTGGTTCAATTTTGTGACAAATAGGCACATAATTGATGACTTTTATTTAATTCTAGTTATAGCTGTACTTTGCTGTAAAAATTGTGCAAGACTTAGTAAGTTTAAATTGTTTTTTTTTGTAGTTTAAGACGTGGAAGTTAAGCAACATATGGGTAAAGGAGGAGGTAAAGGATATATTGCATCTATACGAGAATTATTCAATAAAGTGATTCTGGTAAGCAATGGCACACGGGCCAAGTTTGTAGATAAGCAAGCGTTGTAAACAAGTGCATGCGAACATTTCAAAAGGGTGAAATCCTAGTTTATGGAATCAGGAGGATGTTCTTGATATTTGCGTAAATGACATAATTATTGATTTAGGTGAAGATTACTCTAATGAAAGCGACTTTTGTTTTTGGATGATAATAACAAAAATATACAATCAATAATATCAGATTGGCAAATTGTAGGTAGGTACATATTCACACTTATGTAATAATAATGTAAGAGTATAATATCGATTTTCATTAAGTAAAATAAACTCACGCTCACGCTTTTAGTTTCTTACCACCACCACTATGGTAAGAAACAAGCAGGAACAGAATAACATGATTTTATCTGAAATTTTAAACGGAAAATCCGGAAATTTGGATGCTCCAACTTTTATTTTGTTTTATAGATTTTCATAAACTTTTGTAGAGGTCAATACACAGATTACTTTAAGCGTATACGGACTTTTTGTGACGCTTTCGGATAGAGTTATCAACGTTTGTTTATTTCTCCATAAAAATTCAACATTTAAATATAATGTATGTCGATATTCGTTTGAAAATCATTCAAAGGAAAAAAGTAATAGATATTTTTGGTAATAAATTTTGATACATACATACTGGCGATATCACGGCAAATTTTTAGGCAAAATGCATGTCTGTACCTCAGAGGTAAAGTCTACTAAGTCACAAATTCAAAAGTTTACAGAAAACCACATTATAAGAAGCACAAAGGAATAATCTATACATTTGATTACTTTCATCATGAAGAACCATGTTACTTATAACTAGTAAGTTTACATATGTACGATCGAATTTTGAAATTTTATCAAAAATTTTTGTTTTACGGACTTAGTACTGTTTACCTCTAATGAAGTGTTTCGAATGATGGACTTATTATTGTCATGTGTAAACCAATTTTAATACATTTTCGCTCGAAAAGGGGAAGCAAGCATGTTTCATCATATGTACAGGGCGTTTTTTTCCTGTATGAAATCACAACTCAGATTAGAAAAATATCTATTTTTTTTATAAACAACATTATAATACAATAATTTTATTGAAATTAAAAAATATATCAATACTGTTCAACTATTCATCTTCTTCGTTGTTGTAAGAAAGAAATGGTCATCATTTTGTAGAAAATGTCCTCCATAAACGATAAGAAACAAGTATACATTTTTTGAGGATTAAAGCAGATTTTTATAAGACACTTAAATTGAAAAATGACAGCCATAAATGGGATATTATAAAAATAATAAATAAACAAGTATAAATTGTGCACAACCCTTCTGCAGATAAAACACATTTTTGTTTAACATATATAGCTTAGTAAATGGTTGGGTTATAAGGGGAGGAGGCTCTCTACACATAAACATTTAAAGACCGCCTGGCATGCATTCAAAATCCTCCGACACTCCATTCTGCAGATATTTGCACTGAAAGCTTCGACATCGCCAATAGATATGTCTCGTCCGCTCGATTCATTTTGCCTTTGTGAGTACTTTCCTCCGACAAACCGCTTTCTAGATATTCGCTCTTAAAGGTTTGATATCACCAATGGATATATTTCTTCTAAACGTCCCATTCGCCCTTTGTGAGTAGTACCTACGACCTACCCTCGTTCTACAATCCGTTCTGGAGATAAAAGGGAAAATATCCGATCACGATAAGAGGCCGAGGAAGAGGACTCTGGTCCGTAAAAAATAATTCCCTTCGTTGAGAGCTTTCTTTAGAGCAGTATTTCTCAACCTGTTTTTACTGGTGGCCTACTTGTGAATGATGTTTATCTCTGTGGCCTCCCTCCGCGTTAGACCCGGGGGTATGGAATCCCCCCCTGGAGAGGGGGGTCATACCCCGAGAAATTTTTGAAGTTTTAGTAGCTTTATACATGTTTTAAAACTCATTTATGTCTTTCCCAGACCGCACAAAAATGTACAGAATATAGGTCATTAAATGTGGCATTTCAATATTGTAACATTTTAGATTAGATTAAAATTAATTTGTTATTTTTTAGTTATCAAGAAACCATTTTCAAGCTCATTTAGTTTTGACGCTGATTTAAAAAAAAATGCGTCTTTGAAAGTTGTAGAAAAAGTAATCTCTACAGAAAAAGAATCCTAGTAGGCAGTAAAGGGGTGGTAGTCTTGCACGAACTTATAAATTTATAAGTTCGTGTAGTCGTGTTAGAAAAAAATAACAAACATTTTCCGGTATCGTTTCTATCAATTGCATTGTGCGTTTGCCATTTATAAACAATTAAAGTTGTGATTAGGATTTATTGCTTTCTAGGAAAGGTACAAGCTGTGATATCACAAACAAGTATAATGGGTTATTGTGGTATAATTTTTGTAATAATATATAATTTATTACCCATAAAACAAAATAAAAACTCTATACAAATAATGGAATAAAAACAGGGAAAGGGAATGCATTCAGTGCCGAGAGACCCTGTTCTTTCATACTGTACTGACCATTTTTGGTAAATTTATTTCATTTAAATATTTCAGTAAGATAGATGAATTTTCGTGGCCCACTGAAAAGTTTCCGTGGCCTACCAATATTCTGTCTTCCTTTGTGGCCCCCAGAAATACGTCCTGGCCCCCGTTGAAAAACACTGCCTTAGAGTACCATGAAGGGTATTATCAGTTCCACTCCTCCCCGTCCCTCAACCCCCCTCTTATGATAAGGCGGACAGAAAGAAAGGCAGTAGTTGGTAGAAAACAGTTCCTTTCCTTACACCATGAAATTAGTTAAATTACACCATGAAATATAAAACTATTTTATTTTTTATTTTTTTGTAATTATTTTATTTACAATGGACCCTTTACAAGCAAATTGTTATTTTCTACAACTTGATTTTATCAAATTTTTAAGAACAACTGTTTTCGATTTACTATTACTACCTACAACGGAACATAACAGGTTTCTCCTACAAAAGGGAAAAGTTCCTATTTTCGCTGCCGATGATTTAATGCCTAACTAAGATTTCAATCGAATTTAATGTATCTATTTCAATTTTTGAAAGGGCAGCAAATCCTATGCGGTGCGCTGTTCAAATTTGGTTCGATTCAACTCTGTCGTAAAATGAAATTTTCCGTTGAGTAAGAAAATGCTCGTCAAGTAAGGACCGTAAATAAATGTGGAAATTTAACTTTATGACTAAGATTAAAAAAATTCAGGATAATCATAGTGATTTGTTTGCTGTTTTGAACTTGCATGTTTTAATATATTTTCGATTAAGCCAGTGGTGTACCACGTAAATTTTTTTCTTTTTTGTGTGTCCGTATCCTATTTCCTTTCTGTAAAGCTCACTCTCTAATCTTTCCATCTGACAGCACAATAGGTAGGTACAACCCCTAAAATTTAATTG